TTCCCAACATTTCAAAGTGATGTTCTAAGTGTCTGTCCGTCACTATACAGTTGTGCTGTAAAGTCGCCCCTTCGCAGCTACTACCCACTCACCAGTTCTCATCTTCCCACTCCCCAGCTACTCTGCGTACTAAAGTTGTATTACCAAGTCGCCACTTCTCATCTTCCAGCTCCACATCTACTCCGCGTACTAAAGTTGTACTACGCAGTCGCCAGTTCTCAGCTTCCAGCTCCACAGATTGCTCCGCGTACTACAGTTGTACTACAAAGTCACCAGTTCTCATCTTCCCACTCCCCAGCTACTCTGCGTACGATCTCCGCAGAGGGTTGCGCGGGCAGCCGGCAAATCACACTCTCGCCTGCATTTCGCGCACTCGACACGCACGATCTCCGCAGAGGGTTGCACTTTCGGTTGACGCTGTTCGTCCTGCCCTCCGCCTTTAAGAGAGAATTTATAAAGTGGGGAAATGTTTTTTTTCATTAGGACATCTCCCGTGCTAGTTTTCCATACTCACACTTGCCTACTCATTGCATGCTTGTTGCATGCTTGCATAGTCATTGCATGCTTGCATACTCACGCTTGCATATCATGCTTGCATACTTATACACTTGCATACTTTGACACTGGCATACTTCGCACTTGGATGCTTTCGCTCTTCCAGTGTGTGTGTGTGTGTAAGTGTGAGTGTCGAAGTGTAAGTGTCGAAGTGTCAGTGTTCAAAGGATTTTCCGGAAGAACCCTTCGCAATGCTTTCGGGAATAACAAAAAAGAATACAAACAGCACTATATAAACATCATGAAACAAAGCTGTTTTCTCCTGGATGGTCATGGTGACTGGGGACTGTGAGCCTGGTGAGATCCCTAATGGCCCGCTGATCCGACGGACTACGTGCCGGGCAGTCGACCGACAGCTGGAAGATGGAGAAACGACCGGCAGCCCCTCCATGCCCTTGAGAAAGTCGTTTACAATATCTTTTTATATATTCTTGAGACCCTAGTAGCTTGATCGTTGCTAGTAGTGATGCTAGGAGCCCCTAGTAGCATCCTTGCTCCTAGTTGTAAGGCCAGGAGCCCCTAGTAGCTTTATTGTCTATATTCTTGATTTTTTTTTGTGGCAGATTGAACACTGTCACGACTCAGAAGAGGAATTGCTACCAAAACCTCGATGGATCTATGTTCACATGTGAAAGAATCACACAAAATCCAAGACATATAATATTGACCGTTTGAATTTGCTTGTTCGTTTGAATTGCTCCAAAGTTGTTCAACAAACATCGCGATTTGGACCGACCAAAAGCGCTCCCCGTCCCCCCGTCCTACCCTTCAAGTGCGCACCCCGTACTGGCGCCTCACAAACTGGCCATGCTCTTGCCTGAACCAGCCGCTGTACTCCGGAGAGTGGAAGGCCACATCTTGCCTCAAAAAGGTTCCATCCCGTAACGCAGCCCGGGAAGGAGGTTGTTGAGTCCAAAAGGGAGTATTGGAAACAACAATCGAAATCAAAAGCGATAGTGTTGCCTTCTGCCAAAGGTTGCACTTGCACCTGGTTTACTTTCACATGCAATTACTTTGCCCAGTGTTGCCATTGTTCTCTATCCTTCTGTTCTCGTCATTCCGAGGAGGTTTTGTATGGTCCCCAGTCTTTCAGGCCTTCTTGAGCCTGCTCAACATTGCATGTGGATTCTTTGTTGCTGCAACCAGCAATACAACCAGCTCAGCGTCCAGGTTGTGTTTTGCGCATCTGCCATCTTTCACACGTCAGGAATGTATTTTTGGGGGGCTTTTCTATTTATGTATATATTTGTGTTGTGTGTGTGTGTGTTTGAGTCTGAGAAAGTCATTTGCGTCTGGGCTGTGAACCCCTGCCTTTGACACTGCGTCTTGTTGATGCCCGACGCCCGGCAGGCTTTCTTCAGATCACCTCCAAGAAAGAAACGAATGCTTTGCAATGTGTACTACAGCCTCCACCGAGAAAAGGAAAATAGGTGAACATGTGTGAACATAGTGCATAAGGAGGTGATCATGGCTGGAAGGTGGAAGAACTGACGATTCATCAGGTCAGGCAGGAAGCTTCATCTTCCATCTAAAAGGACATGAAACCACCCACCGTGGCAAAAACGGAGCGCCTGTGTAGCTGGCTTTCGAACAAGTAATGTCAATTAATGGCGCCTTGAAACCTATTGAGATCCCTAATAGCGTCCTTGCTCCTAGTACGAGTAGTAAGGCCAGGAGCCCCGTTCGTAGCGTCCTAGTCGGCTGCTTCCCTGTTGCCCAGCGCAGCCGCACCATGGGACCCGGCTCGGACGATCGAATTCGGTGGACGTAGGGCACCGAAGAGTAGAGACATCGGTCGTGACTGATCCCTACAATTCTCCCATCAAACACCTGTTCTTCTGTTCCGGAACGACCAAACACATCCAACACCCCTTCAGAACCCTTCAGCCATACATAGCAGTTCCACAAAAATTCCACAAACAAATCCTGAACCAAAGTGGCAACAACCAGTCACCTTTTAGTTGGATGATTGAGTGTCTGTGGGAGTGTCCGCGTGCTCGTTTTCCAACGTGAGAATCTATGCACGTGTGTATATGTGTGTGCTGTGACCATACAGCTGTGGGGTTGAAACCTTACAATAGACAAACTCAAAGTTGAAAAAAAAAGTGTCGCATATGAACAAAACACATGTTGACGTAGGCTGTGTGGATGTGTTGATGTTATTGCCGTATCATTTTACACATTTAAATGTATGGGGGCTGTAGTGTCATGTCTGTAACTGAGCAAACTATATAATAACTCACTAAACATCATCCAAGCCATCAGAACCCGACCGGCTTCAACTGCACATCAAGGCATGTTCTCAGGGGTCTCTGGGGACCCTCACAGCGTCGCTGGACATCAAGCATGGTGAGCGAAAACCACTCCAAAGAAGAAGGAGATAGAATAAAGAGCCAGTCAGCAGGCTGCTTCCTACAGATCGTGAGAATTGCTTTGGTGTTGAGAGGCCTTTTTAGTGTGCCCAGATTCTATAGTAGAACGGGTAGAACAAGTTGCTTTATAAATCGTTTGATGTTGTCTTCCCCTCGTGAGCCCGCAATGTCATAAAATACGATGATGATCATCCGAGGTCATCCAAAGAACAACTTGGCATATCCGGAATCAAAATGCAACCGAAGCGTCGTCTGGAGACCTATCTTATCTTCTCTCAAAGTGCGTTGAAAAAACTACCTTCGTTGGCAAAAATCCGTGATGGTCAAACAATTCAGAACTCCAAATTCTTCCACGGGTCAACACAAATGAATTATAGGACGCTACTAGGAGAAAAGGGCATCGCTACTAGGAGCAAGGACTCTACTAGGAGCTCATGGCATCGCTACTATGAGCAAGGACGCTAATGGGAGCTCCTGGCATTGCTACTAGGAGAAAGGACGCTACTAGGGGCTCCTGGCATCCCCACTAGGAGCAAGGATGCTTCTAGGACCTCATGGCATTGCTACTACAGTAGGAGCAAGGACGCTACTAGGAGCTCCTGGCATCGCTACTAGGAGCAAGGGCGCTACAAGGGGCTCCCGATGTACTTCAGCAATGCCTTTGACATCCAAGTTTCGGTGGCGGAACGGGGGGTTGACTCATCCGCGAACGATGGTACTACATTGACGCGAGCATCCACTGGTTGTCCCAAACAAGCTATGTGTTATATATATTTATAGATATATGTTTTGGGGGTCTATCGTACTACCAGTAGCAGTGGATCATGATCGTTAGTATCTGCTTTTCTCTAAACTAGTGACAATTGTTTACTGACTGTTACAGGTAAGAACGGACAAACAGACCCACTAAATGCTTACATTATTTGACACTAGTTACAGTAGTGGAACCAATTACGCTGCTTGGTCACCAGGTGTACGGTCACCAGGTGTCCGCAGCACTCGCGGCGTCTCCTGCTCTGCTTCTGTGCCAAGGTGATCCCGTTCTTCTGCAGCCGCTCCTGCGCCGCTGTCGCGAAACAGAAGTTGAAACTTGGCACTGAAAACCTGGCACCCGGGCCACACGGAGTGTGGCCCCTTGTAGAATCAGCTTCCCATCCCTTGTGACAGTCGGTGTCCTTGGACGGCAAATACTCCAAGCCAAAGTACACCACATCTGGCCGTAGACGCACGATTAACTCGAAGGTCACCTGAGGAGATGTACCCCAGCTTCCTGGAAGCTGAGACAATAGGAGTCAATGGAAGTGATCTGAATTGATTGAACAAAATGCCGAGCGCCAGCCCATCCCCACTAAACCCGGCCATCCTTGGGATGTCTGGTCATGGAGCAATGGGGTCCCGGGAGCTAGGATCCTCTTCTCAAGCCAAATATAACATAGCCTACAAAAAGACATCTTTAATATGGTCAGATGATGTTGCACATTTTGGCCAGCAATTTGTTTACTCATGGCTGGTTTTGTTGAGCAGGTGCATCCAACAGCAGGAATACGCTACGGCCAGATTTGCCTGCCCAGGTGGCTTTTGCAGTCCTAACTTAACGTTGTTTGCAACAGCATCAAGTCAGACTATGTCTGCCATTCCATGCGGGCTCCGGAGAGACGGCGGCGCGAAACAAGGAGAGACAGCAGAAACGGATGACTTGGTTGGATGGCAACCGTCACAGACTTGAACCAATTCACAGATTTGTCGAACAATGCCGAAAGAACTTGATGAAACATCATGCAGCATGTTGTTTGATGTCTCTCTTCACTGAACAAACGCTACCCGTGTCCAAGCCGATCTTCATACTGGACACGGGCGCGGTTCACGTGGTGATTTTTGATTCTTCACGTCCTCCTTCGTCATTCGTCATCCAAGTGATCCTTCAGGTCAATCATCCAAGTCGCATTATGCTCTGCCTCGTACTGCTTCACGACATTCAAGCAATGCCAGATCCATCCGAGCCTGTCGGGCCGTGAGAAGTCAAAAAGGCAGCGCGACCGGCGATTGAAAAAAGCAACATGCCGACATGCACACGGGAGAGAACCACAGGTTGAGCACCTTACTAGTAGTAGAAACAGGTGCCACGCTACTAGTAACAAGAAGCTATTAAGCAAAAGACGCCATGACGTGACAAATCAGCTCCAACGCGGCATACGAAAGCCATGATACTTCTTTTTTGCGGAACTTTTCACTTGGAGACTTTAGAGTCTTTAGAGCTCCCAATTTCAGACTCCAAAGGGTGTGGACTAGCTTGTCGATTCCATGCTTGGCGTTCTGTGGGCGCCCGCCGTTCTGTGGTTAGATTGTGGTCAAACAAATTGCCTCCCAAGACTCAACAATACTCAACAGCTATGTTGGAACTGATCCATTTCTTTCTGCACAGAAGATCTCGAATATCTCACTGTTTGAAGGCTCCCTACAAACTGCCAAGAAGCACCACAACACGAACTCCGACCCGCTCAAACCGAACTCCGACTGGACTCAAACTGATTGGTCCAGAGCATCCGACCCAAGGCACTGCAAATAGTTCGAGACCACGTCATCGCTGCAGCAGCTCACATTCGGCTCCACGCTCTCAAACTGCTTGCAGGTACCTACGAATGGAAAGAAAAAACAACACCCATAAATATACTACACATCCATACACATCCACAGTACATTGAAAGGACAGCAAGGTACAGTACATTTCTACAGTTCTACATCCATTTTAGTTTCTTGAGATCCTTTTGGATGCTCGTGGATTCCAGGTCGTCAAGTAGGACTTGCTGCAATTCCGTCTGCGTTTGGGGTGCAGCTCCAAACGTAGCGAGATTTGGATTTGCATGGATTGGCAACAAATCATGGCAAACCACAACAGCGGTTTCAGAGTAGATGGCACAAACCCCGAGATGTCCTTTGGATGGTGTCCATATAGACCATCTTTGACGGATTGTGCCATCGAATCTGTAACCACTGCAACCATGTCGACCACTTCCCACAGGCAACAGCCCCTAATAGCATCCTTGCTCCTGGTAGCGAGTGTGGAGATCCATCTCCTGCATGTTCCCAGTTCTGCGTGGGCCACTCTTGGTCAGCGTCCGTGAGAGCCCACGTTTCACTGACGGATGTCTTTTTATTATGTAATGGGCTGGTTGCCGAGGTATTGGATTGCTTGTGGATTTGAGTAGACTCTGAGTAGACTCAAACCCATATGAATCCCATGTGACTCACCAAAATGAACATGTTTCCTATGTCCTTTGTTCCAAAGTCAATAAGATCGAGCCTTCCCATTGCCAGGCATACCGTGTCAACTTACGCTCTTGGAACATGGGAGGTGAGCCCTTGGAACATTGGTGGTCTTGATGGTTAAAAACGAAAATATTACATGTTCACTCGCTTTGGAGGGACAGCTGACAGCCCTTCAATAGTTGTGTCTTCAAGTTTAGGAACCAGCCAGACCACTGGAAAGCAAAGAAGGGAAGGGGGGCATAGATGAACATGCATCAGCTACTGCATCAGCTTTGGAGTCAGGAGTCATATTCACAAAGCACTTATCAAGGGTATGTGAGATTGCAGACTCGATTTGTCTCACCTGTGAGGAGTCTATTTTTTCCGAAGAGCTGTCACTGTGAACTTCCACATGCACTGGCTGCAGAGCGTCCACCGCAGCCTTCAAGGACTGCTTTCCCACCTGGCAGTGCCAGGCTCAAAACTTGCACACCGAGAGCGTTCCAACAATATGTTGTTCCTATGTTCCTCCATTGAAGTAATTGTTTGTCTTCACCCAGGAGCTTCCCTCAGCCCTGCTGTTCCTCTGTTCGACCGGCCTTAAAGGGGACCTGCTTGCGTGTGTCATGGCCCAGTGATGCTGTCTCATGCATCACCAAAAAGACGGTGGCGGGGTCCACCTGCGAAGCCGCTGCCACTGAGTGCCGAAGGGTCCGTCAAAAGCTCCCACTGTTATCTTCTCCATTAGCTTCCATCAATAAGACTTCTTGGAAGATGTGCTGAAAAGGAGGGTTGCTTGTTTGGCTTGATGCTATCTTCTAGTTCTGGCATGTATTACACTACGTGCCTTTCCCTAAGGCGGTTCAAACTTGCAATCTCTTCTTGAAAGCAGGTCTTGCATACTCTGACAGGCCTTGGCCTTGAACTTGAGGATACCTTGATTCCATGCTTCCAGCAAGTTGAGGCTCATGAACTTCAGAAACTTACCTTGTGATTCTCTGTCATGACTACGTACTGAGTAGTGCCTGAACTACCTCATATATCCTCATATGTTCTTTTTCTAGGAGGCCCATGACAACGATCCTGCTAAACAAACCCACAGATGAGATGGGTTTAGCATCTCATGCTTAGGCCTCACCGGAGCCAGTTCGCACATGGTAGAAAACCCTAGGGAAGTTTCTGGCATCTTCGGCGCGACAACTGCAAAGCAAAAGACTAAGACCCTGACTTGAGTACCCTTTTTGACTTCTGTCTTGGTCACTTGTAGCTTTCAATTCACCGAAACGGCATCCAAGCACACGAAAACATCTTGATAGGTGGTGAGAGAGCTAAAACTCTTGACGAAACACCCGCTTGGCCCTGTCGTGCGGGGAAGTACCAAGACACTTTGGTAGATCTTCGGCAAGGTGAAGGATCGCAAGCCGCCCACCACGCAAATGGCAGTTCTCCCCGCCACTTCGAGGCGATCAGAGAAGTTTGTCGGGTCCACCTGGGGGAAACAAACTGTCTGATCATGTCTGATCGGCTCTAATGTGGATGGGTGATTGTTGAACATCTCAGGTAGTGCAGGACTTTGTCCTGAAACTGTTGAACAAATTTGGGGTCGGGTCTTACTGCAAGACCCCCATGTTTTGAGAGACACACGCACACACACACACATAATTTATCATATATAATTGAATTTTATTGATATAAATCAAAAGCAGAAGTCTAGCTAGTCTAGATTCAAGGATATGATAAATCGTTCTCTAAGGTTCTCATTCCAGCTCGGGACTAGGTATATACGTACATACAATTTGTGTGTGCGGATCCATTCATCCTGCTTGAAGATGCTTCTAAATTTGATTGCCAAATGAGCCATCGCAAGGATCCTGCAGTAGAACATGTTGTATCACACCTTCCAACAAGCCATCCTCAGCCGTGCAAGGGCCTGCAGCTTCGTCTGGTTCTGGTGGTTTGGTGTCTGGTGTGTCTGGTTGGGCAATGGTGGCGATGGCTCTGAATCCGCAGGACTGGACGATGTTGAGATGGATGATGTGGTGGAACGTGATGAGTTGGTCGATGCGGTGGGCTGAGTGGAGGTGCTGGCCTGGCAAATGACTCACAGAACATGTTCAGGAAAGAAACGTGTGGCTCAAAGCACGCAAATCTCAGTTGGTATAGAAACAAACTGATTGATGGTCATGATATTCGCATTCAGGCCATTGTCTCAAACAAAACCGGGTCATTTCTGCAGTCCACGAACGGAAAAGCACCTCTGCATCATCTACCAAGTGCACTCCTGCAATTTGTTGTCAGGAGAGCACACAGCCCTACAATACAGCAACTTCCGAACGGTTCATCAGTTCAGCCAGTCTGAAAAGGCAGTTGCTGTAAGTCCCAAAGCAAGTTTTTCTGCGTTTCTGAAACAGGCACGATGTAAAACTCTCTTTTTTCATACCGGTGTTCTGAACCTTGCGATTCGATATCTATTTGTTTACTGCCGGTCACTCTCCCAACAATGGCTGTTCACGAATGCTTTTACCCTTTTTCATCTGCGTTTTTTTTAGATTTTTTAGTGTTCTGCCAGGATAATTCCAATTCTGCCTTCCATTTCACTTGGAACCTGTAATGTCGGTTGTGATTCATGTTTCGAGTTCTACCAAGGCCTGCCTCAGAACTAAAAGGTGTTACACAGCCTTAAGTTTCCAAAAAAACTAGGAACCAAATCATCAATGCGAAGCTCCCCCCCGCAGGGAGTTTCCTTGAAGAAGCACGAACTATCCTGCGTCCTAAGTAGTAGGTACTTGCAGGTAGTAGTTGCCTCTCCCTTAATACTTAATTATATAAATAGGCGCCTAATACTTAATTAAGTAGGTGCCTACTTAATTAAGTAGGGAGGGGGAGAGCGGGCCAAAAAGAAGAACAAGATGGAACCCACGAACCCGAATGCAAGCACATACTCGAAAAATAAAGAGAGCTCGAAGTTATGCGGGTGTTGTTTTTACGCGTTTTTTTGTGTTTTTCTTAGGCTTTGCAATGTTTTGAAAGAGTTTCCACGGCTGCGGTCTAGATATGTTCTTGTGCTCCTGTTTCCCAAACATAGGGGCTGCCAGCTGACCACCCTCCCTCCCACCCACCTCAAAATAATAAAATTTGTTTTTTAGGTGGGTGTACCCACCTGAGCATAGAATTATTATGGAGGTAATATAGTTCAGAAATAATAAAACACACAGCATGACAAGATGGGGGGGGGGGTGGTATAGACCACCCACCTAAGTGGGTAGATATATGGGGACAGCTCCCAGGAAAGTGTGCAGTAACAGCAATCGTAGGTGGTTCAATCGCAACCACCTACAAATTAATAATCGCGCCCTCTTTCCTGCCATTCTCTCTCGGTTTCTCTGTGGTACCCTGAACGTCTGTCCAGTCTTTTTTGCCTTGATGGGGCAGCCGATCCGGGAGAATTTATGGAAAATATTGAAGACAAGCAAGATCTCTGTCCCAGGCAGGTCAAACAATCGCCGTATTTCAGGGGTGGGGCTGGCCTAAGGGACCTCTGAAATAATTAGTAGATCGACTGATTGGCTGGAATGTGTGGATAGCGTGATATGGTCCATAAAATTATTTCAGGGGTGGGGTACCCCCTAAACGACCTGTTAAATAATAAATAAGGTGGGGGGAATGTTGCCAGTATTTGCCACTTATTCCATGGAAAATATGGAAAAGGTTGAAAACATTGAGGAGTTTAGTAGAAGGAACCAGTAAGGGGGGCAAGGCTTACCCCACAGACATCATTAACAATATTCAAGTAACTATTTATTTGGGGGGGTAGATGACAGGTAGCCCACCTGCCAAATAATATTATGTTTGTGCTCGAATGGATGGATCCCAGATAAAGGTAGCCCCCTGATAGGATGGATCCCAGCGAGAATTTGATGAGAGTGTGAAGCCGGCTGCTTTGGCTACCAGAGTTTTGGATCAGGTGTGCCTTGGCTAGTTCAAACTGATTGCAGCGCGACAAACGATGACTTGGTGGCAGAGCATAGCTGATTGATGTGGGAGTCAGACGTTCACGGTCTGACAGAGAAACCGAGAGAGAATGGCAGAAAAGAGGGCGCGATTATTTTTTGTAGGTGGTTGGGCTTGCACCACCTACGTTTGCTGTTACTGAACACTTTCCTAGGAGCTGTCCCCATATATCTGCCCACTTAGGTGGGTGGTCTATACCACCTCCCCCCCCTATCTTATCATGCTGTGTGGTTTATATTTTATATCTTGATTGTCTCAGCTCTGTGGACAGGCACATCAAATTATTTTTGCTCTGGCACACGTACCCCTCCACCTGCCAAATAATTTCCAATAAACCCTGCACCATACCTTCTTCCACGGGTTATTGTCATTCAGTGCTAAAAATTATTTGGAAACCATATATCAAAATAATATTTTGTTATTTTGCAACATGCCATACCATATTTTTCTACATGGTAGATATTATTTTGACCCACCACCTACATGCCTTTCCAAATAATACTTTATTGATATTATTCAAAAATTTATTTGGAGACGAGACGGTCACCTCAAAATAAATTCGCTCGGCAGGGGCTATTCCCAAACAAACCAACTTCTATTTTTTCAAACAACCTCAGGATCCCACTCTACCTTTCCTTGCCCATAAGAATTCTCATTGCTTCAAAGTTAGGTAGCACTTTTTGGGTTTCTCCCCCCCACATTCTTTATGAAATGGAGAGAAGATCATTATCTTGAAACACCATGTGCCCACCAAGCCCAATAAAAGTTGAGAAACTTGCTTAGTAGTACTGCATGACAGTTTGGAATTGGTTTTTGCATGGCCGTCTTGACACCCATACCCATAATAAGCCTCATCCTCATTCTCAGGTCATGGGAACCATTCTGCGAGCATTGGGAGTTCACATCCTAGTGATTGGCGCTCATCTCCACTGCTCTCACCCAATGGCTCTTCAGGTCTATGCTCCATATCCCCCCATCTACGACGAAATCTTCCAAAGAACCTCATAAAGCCCATGGAACGATCCAGCCATAGATTCACTGAGAGTCTGATTTGGCTGTGTGGCCACTACTCATTCCCAAGCTCATGAAGAACCTTCTCTTTACCCCAACCTTCTTGCCCACACATAGACACATGAAGTCAGGTTGCACCAAACCTGGCATGCTCAGCGTGCTCCCAATATTCACCCAACATTCTGCGAAACAACCACAAACCACAAAAACGTGTAAAAACCACACCCGTATATCTTGGTTTTCCCAGACAATTTTTGACACTTTCTTGTAGGACTCTCTTGTGGGACACTCTTGTAGGACACTCTTGTGGGACACTCTTGTAGGACACTCTTGTGAGACACCCTTGTGGGGACTCTCGTAGAACACTCTCGTCGGACGCTCTTGTGGGACGGGAACTCTTGTAGGACACTCTCGTCGGACACTTTTGTGCGGCAATCTTGCGGAACACTCTTGTAGGACTCTCTTGTGGGACACTCTTGTGGGACACTCTTGTAGGACACTCTTGTGAGACACCCTTGTAGGAAACTCTTTTAGGACGTCTCTTATGGGACACTCTTGTCTTGTGGGACACTCTTGCGGAACATTCTTGCAGGACACTCTTGCGGGACACCCTTGTAGGACACTCTTGTAGGGCACTCTTGTTGGACACTCTCGTCGAACTCTCTTGTGGGACACTCTTGTTGGACTCTGTAGGGCAATTTGGCGGGGAAGCTCTTGTGGGACACCCTCGTGGGGCACTACTACCAAAGTTTCCATAAGTGAGCCGTCACGTCTCCAAAACTAGGGCTTCGCGCGCGTAAGTCTCCAAAACGAGCGTTTCGCACGAAACTTCCTCAAAAAACTCACACTTCAAGTCTAAATGAGCGTTTCGTACGAGACTTCCTCCAAAATTCATGCGTCAAGTCTCCAAAACGAGGGTTTCGTACGAGACTTCCTGCAAAAGTCACACGTCAAAGTTTCCAAAACGAGAATTTCGTACGAGACTTCCTCCAGAAGTTTCATCCGAGCACACACATCAAGCAGCCCTGCCAAGCAGTTTCGCGATTTCAGCCCCTCCAAACAACACCCGCTCACACGCCAATCCCAATGTCACAGCAACATTCACCTCCACCACAACTCGCAATCTCACGATTCCCTGCACCTGCCACGAATCTTTCCGCGTCCACACCTCCAACACACACAAAGTACCGCGCCTGCCATGAAGTGTGACCTCCGCCACGCCTCACAACCTCACGGTTCCCTGCGCCTGCCACGAAAATTGCACTTCCATGCCTCAAAGCCCACACAAAGTACCGCGCATGCCACGAAAAGTGTCAATATCATATCACGTGAGCTTGAGCAAAATTTGCACCGCACCAGACGTTTGGAGTTTCCACATGTTCTGAGCACACTCCCATCCACCAAAATCGCAATTTCAGCTGAGACTGGTCACGAACACACAGCTTCGATGCAACACCTTGAAACGCAAATCCCAATGTCACAGCCACATCCAACACCCCAAAAACACCACTCTCCAAACGCCAATCCCAATGTGATTGCGCAGAAAACTCACCATCTCACAAAACGCTGCGCCTGCGCAGTGATTTCATCCTCCATACTTCATCCTCTCACGTTTCCACGCGTTTCCTCGCCAGAGTTAAACTAGAACCCTTCGCTACGCATTCGGGAATCAAATCCGTCTCCCAACTGGTCGCCTCTCAATAGATTCCTCGGGATCACTCTTTGGGATCCACCCAGCACCTGATTTCCCGAAAAACGACCCGGAGAGGAGAGGAACCTCGGGGTTCGATGGCACGCGAGAGGAGCCCGGTGAGACGCTCGGTCTTCCAAAAAAGGTCTTTCTTCAAGAAAAATCTCGATCAGGATTCACTTCTTCGGAAGAGCCCATTAGATCATTTCATGTCATTTCTCTCATCTGACTGTCTGTCCCTTCCAAACGAGCCGTATACAAATCGTTTGGCTGGCCAGGAGTGATTTGCTTCAAGGGACTGGACTGCGATGAATGACACATAAAAACATATACCGATATACCGCATCTTCCTTGGTATCTGTCTTTTGCGATTGTTTTGCAGAGAACATCCGTCTTAGGCAAGGGGGGCAGAAATGTTAGCAGTACGGCACTTCTGGAGTATTAGAGAGAATGGTGGAACTGAATAACAGTGATTTTTCTCCTGCAAAACAATCAAAACGGCGTTTTGACGGTGCCAAAACGGCACAAAACGTGTCCATGGCCGTCCACTATTGCACTACTGAAGGTCCAAGATGTGGCAAGCAAACCCATGAAGCGCCGGGATTCTCAGAAAATGGTCTCAAACACATCAAAAGCAATCAGGCCACGGAATCAGTTGAGTTTGCAAAAACGACAACAATTCTACATACCCAGGGGTCCTATGTAGTATGTATAGAGTCCAAAGGAACATGAGCACACAAGCTGACCTCCTGTGGGATCTCCTGGGTCGAAGCAAAGCTTTGACTCAAAGACTCTCAAATTGGATGGGTGGGACTGTTCATTGGATTTGTTCATTGAATCCCCATGTATCCCCATGTATCCCCGCACTGTGCGTGCGATACTACAAGTGATACAACCTTGGAGCTGACTTCAAACAGTTTGACGAACTAGTCTGTCTTGTTTCTGTGCCAATCTTGCTGCATTGGCCCAATTCTGCTTCTCCTGGTCGGCCCAGAATCCGCACCCGCCTTGAAACAAATGCCACTGAAAGTAATCCATAACAGTACCACTGAACCTCAGAGATTCCAAGGAGTTCTTTCAGCCGTGTGATTCCAGGATTTGGCGGTATCATCTTATGGGACCGCCGAATCGAGCACAAGCACACCAAATCAAAGACCTGAGGCTATCTGCCTACAACTCAAGTAACCTTGAACCTGTTGACAACATAACCTCTCGGATGGGATACCCAAAAAAACAGAATCAACTGAACCATCCGTCCAACGGCTATTGAAATTGTTGTCTTTCTTTTTGCCGGAGTTCGGGCAGATTGCCATTACGAGAGACAGTTCTTTCTTCGGCGGTCGGCTTTGGGCGTAAGGTCAAGCCCAATTGTGACCATGTAGCCAACACCTTTCTCCTGACCAACGAGCTGTGTCTACAAGGATCTTGTGATCATCCCTCTCCAAACCTCCTTGAGGCCTGTTGTGATGCATTCTCACAATGTATTGAGGCGCCATGGTTTGGAAAGTCCCAAGGAGATGAGAAGCGTTTAAGAATTGTCCATGGAGGATTGAGCTTGTGTACATGAGGCACTCCAGCACCATCAGGACCCCATGAGGGCTCAAAACAAAATGACGATCAATCAGACTATTGTATGTCATCTCTCCCAAATCCAACTTACTATTGAGATACCAACGACCTTCTAGCCTAGACTAGTGCCCTCAGTTGAATCGAAACAGATCTGAAGCGAAGCAACACCTGGTATAATGGTTGCCTGCCGTGCTCAGGGCCCTCACTCTTTAGGTGGGAAATGTGTTATAAGCATTATGATATATATATATTTTTTTTTTAATTTTTTTTTTTGCTCACAGAAGCCTACAGCACGAAGTAGTGATTGTCTTCCACATTCTTCCATCCATTGAGAGACACTGTCAGTGTGATCTGCGACTCAAAACACCAAGGCTCAGCCAAGCTGCACCTGGCAACGGCTCCAAGTCCCATGCCATTGGCCACGCAGGGTATTCAAACTTAAACCAGTAGCCTGTCGTAGTACGCTTCAACAGCACTGAGCCACTTAACTTCCAGAATAGTCACCCCTTGAGGCTAACTTGCTGGGTTTGGGTGTCAAGAGCGTTGACCCACAACCACAGCCAATGGATTCATACAGACTATATCAGGACCGCAGCAGGCAGATGTGCTTCGAAATTGCGGGCACTCCCGAAGGAGCATGAATAATAAGCAAGAGGCTTTGTACCTGGTCTCACCATCTACAAAGGAATGCGACCTCTAAGTGGAGCTGAATACTCCTGGCGCCAAACGCCAAATGGTGTTGAGACGAAGGTTGACAAGTAGCAACCTTGCTTAGCGATACCTCAGCTACAGTTACAGGGTGGTGTCACCGGGTGCCACCTTAGTTTTGAAGCAAAGCCTTGGATTGAGCCGATGTGGCTGCTGCACCAAGCTCAAAGACAGGCTTATCAAGAAGGATCTCCTACGCTTGTCTCAGGTCTGGCGCTGGCGTCGTGCTTGGAAGCTGGCAATGAATCAATCAATAGCGACGCCGTACGATGGAACTCTCCTGAAACATGGCCGATGCTTTATCTGCCAACCAATCACATCCGTATGCCACAAACAAGTGAAGAATGGGGCAAACATCTAATTGACAAACACTACTGCTTTATCAGTGCAGGTCTGGGAAGAAACACAAATCTGGGGAATTGAACGTCGCTGTGACTAACACTCCACACACTGGTTTCATTGCCACAAGTTTTGTAACGCACAAATCGTGCACCCCTAACCCCAAGGTGAGCTTCACACAAAAAAACATAAACTATCAAAATTTGCAACTTTGCAGCTTGACAATGAGCCACTGCGGTGTGGCTCAAGACCAATCTGATTTTTGGAGAATGTCGACGGCAAAGGCGCAATCCTGTTTTGGTCACCTTCCAGCCAGCACAAGGAATCCGATTGGCAAAACCACAGGCTCCTGTTCATCAGCGCCAGTTTGGACCTCCAGGATGCCAGCGTAGCTTAATATATATAGCTCACGCCTATGCCTGAAAGCTCTGTGATCCTTGAGGTGGAAAGCATATCAGCTACTACTACTTTGGCACCCAACACCCTGTATGTCGTCATATCATGTCATCTCCAGTTCCTTGCGCACTTTTAGGGCGTGCAACATTTAAGTAACTTTGGCAGTTTAAGCAGGGTATTGCAAAGCTCCTGCAAAACACACAGTCTTGGTCTAAACCAAGTTTGATAGTTCAAATCTAGATTATAGCATGTTTATCCAACACAGTGTAAAGGAGAGGCCTTAATTCACAGCACCGTTTCACATCGCCCCAAAGGAAGGGAACCAACAGTGTGGATATCACAGAAATGCCTAAGCAAGTTCAGAGATGCGAGCTTAGCCATCAGAGTTTCCACCAGTCAGTTTCAAACCAACAAACTTCATAGGAATCAGTTGTTCAGGGTTCTTCCAACATCAAAGCCTCCAGACTAACGAAGGTGCATCCCTTCGCACCAGTTTTCCAGGATGCAACTACATTGCTAACCTGAATCCGGTGTTGGCAATTTTCAGCCCCAGCGAGAAATTGCCCTCCGGAAAGCATCCACTTTGAGCCTCTAAACGGGAAGGGCCATATTATGACCCTGGACACACGGAGGGGCGACCTTATCCAACCAAGCGATGTCTTGTCAGATCAGCGCGGGCTTCGCCCATGGTTGGTTTGCCAAAAACTTTGACCGTTCACCTCAATCCTCATCAGCTTTGCCGAGGTTAAGGTTCGGCCCTGTGCCATTGGGGTTCATTGGGATCCAGCAAGCCGGCAAACAATCACAGCCTCATAGCTTCACAGTTCTGCACCAACGTTTGACCAATATAGACAAATGATTAAAATGAAGTTTGGGCAAAAGAGGTTTTAAACAATCACCCCACTTGAATCTGTTTTTTGAGCTACATGTTGAACGCTTCGGGGTAGCACCTTCCTCTGGATAAGAATGGGTACAACTACTGTAATGTGCTAGCATCCATCAAAATGTGCTCCTCGATGCTATTCCATGTTTGCACCGTCCTGACGACTCACAAGTTGTGTTCCGTCATATCTTCGTGTAAGGATCTCGTCTCGTCGAGTTGTGACGTCGGTTTGCTTGCTCCACCTCATTATTAATCGGCGGTCCTGAAACGTCTCTATATTAGCCTTAAGCCTTGCAGATCTAATATCAATACCCGACAAGTGGAGCAACCCAAATAAGGTGAACCTGGGGGGGAAAGAATTGACAGTTTCCTAACCTAGGACGACAAAATTGCAAAGACTTGTGAACATTGAGCCAAGATCTAACGAAATGCGAAGCAAGTAAGGGTGGTTATTGCCCCATGTTTCCTCACCTGTTAAATGATTGCCTCTAGATTCCACATCAGTGTTTCTTCCCGCCGCCTCGTCCTGCTACGCCACCTCCTCGGCCTCCTCCGCCCTCTCCTCCAACTTGTCGGGGCTGACTTCGGTTTGCTACTCTCCGGACTTGTGGCGGTTGCGGCGTGGTACACCCATATCAGAACAAATGTCGCAACACTTGTCAGGTCAAACATGATACCAGAACACAATTTCAGAATACGGGACACAACACGTGCCAGGAGACATATCAAGAACAAATGTCGGAGCATATGTCAGAAACATGCCGGAACTAATGGCAGAACAAGTGTCAGAATACATGACAGAACAGAAGCCGGGCCACGTGTACAAGAAAAACAAACGCCAGATTGTCAGATTAAATGCAAGAGCACATGTCAGGAGCACATGCCAGAAAATATGTCAGAACACCTTCCTGAATGCCAGAATTGTTGCCAGAGCAAATGTCAGAATAATGTCAGCAGCGTTTGTCAGGATAGCTTGCCATTACTGCCTTCTTCATAAGCGCCTCTCAGGGTGGGGATCATTCGAAGCAATTAAAGTTTACTTGCTGGATGGGTCTAGTAAACACATGTAAACAAATGTCCAAAATCCAAGTAAAAATGTATGTGTATATATATATACATGACTATGTATCTATGTATCTATGTATATGTATGTATGTATGTACGTACAAGTATGCACATTACACTATTGTTTGGTGTAGCAGCGTAGCAATGCTAAGACTGCCCAAGTGCTTTGTTTCCTCAACTCGTCAACGAATTGCCAGTGATCCCCCGCCGAAACGGATACAGTAGGCTTTGACCTTGCTGCGAGACACACCTAGGTTCTGTGAGGAACAAATTCCTCAAAAAAATTGCGGCCGCCACTCCAGCTTCATGCCGAGCATGCAAATGCTGATGTCCCCTCACAAGAAAGCGGTGAGTGGAGAGATTTGGGGCAGACTCTCATGGTCAAAACCTGAATCAAATGAGGTATCCCGCACCTGCAGCTTCTTGGTCAAGAAAGACACGATGCATATTATGCATATTGCATCATCAATGTGTTTTATCAAACCATGCAAAATTAGAATATGCCCAAAGATGCCCAAAAGCTTGCAAAAACTTAACTGAACCACAACTGCCCAATACGGCTCACCAAACGGCAACGAAGCAGAGCAGCCGAAACTCTAGACAGCCAGGGCATCAGGGTCGCCCAAGGTGTCTTCATGAGCAAAACAACTGTTCTGATCCTTCTGTGCATAGATTCTGGAGCGGAGGTCTTTTGGTTTCTTGGTCCAAAAATAGACCTGAGGGCGCTCATAGTTCCATCAACTTCAGGTGCTATGATAATAATAGTGGCGCTAATTCAAGGACGCTCCAAGACAAAAAACCTGCTGGGCTTGACTTCGGGCGAAATTGAAGTGAACACCTTGATTCTGCATGTCCTTCCCAAATCATTGTCCACGACAATACAATGTCGGTGAATCCCAAAGAAACGGAATGATGTGAACAACATAATGATACGTAGATTATAAAAATATGATTGTAACAGGACCTGGACCCACAGGACACCCGATAAATATGATTGTAGCATATTGTAATACCACACGGTGATTGAACTTTCTTTGAGCTGCATGGCACAACATATTTTTTCGACCCCGCTCCAAGCAGCTCAAATCGCCTAAGTCCTACGTTGTTACGTCAAGGTTGTCAACTGCGGCTGAGCGAAACAAATCACAAATACACCACGAAGGCAGCACAAACGAAGGAAGATGAAGGAAGTTCAAACGTGCTTGTCTTCAAACAAAACTCTTCAAGCCACATGTCTGAAGGCTTGTGATGCCTACAGGACTTTACTAGAACCCGTTGCGGTTGAAAAGTCAATGATTGGTTGGTTGGTTACTCTTTGCGTAAACTTTGCTACAATAGCCAGTTATATACATAATGGTAAAGGCCCCTTTTTGAGAAAGGTGTTGCTCCATTCTGCATGCATCTACAGTCCTTGCATCATCGTGCATCCCTTCATTGTCAAAAACGGAATGCTGAAATACATTTCGGGAAACATATGATGAAGAAAAACGCACACTCTCTGCATCACTGCACTTCCGCTCACCCGGCTCCACCCGGTTCCACCCGGCTCCCTCCAAATCAGCAGATGCGGCACCCTGGCGGACCGTCGAACGAACCAACCCGTCCGGCTGGACATCCTGGCTGCCGGCACCGGAAGACCCGTAAGATTACCGTAAGATCCTCAAATCATCTCAACACCAAACAAAAGATTTGATGTACTCTCCAGGGGTATGTGATGCTGGCGATCATTCACCCTCTGAGGCTGACGTGAGCCGCTTGAAATGGATCTTTATATCGCAATTCCACTGCAGGTGTTTCTCAAATGCGGCATGATGTGGCATTGCAACACGTTCCGTTTTATGACTAGAATTCTTCAACGGCCTCTTTGCGGGGCAGGTGTGGAATGTTTGCTGTGCCAGGTCACTCTTCCCAGCCCATGAACCCTTTCTTCAGCTGTTTGCTTTGAGAGTTGCTGGCCTCAGCAGCAGCTCGAACGTTGCTTACGCGTTCCTGGCAAAGATCACCCGGTGCTGTGAGTTCT